GAACCTGACAGAAAAATAAAGCAGAGGGTGTGACCCAAGTGGAGTCAGCTGAGGAGTTTCGCTTAATAATACCCGTGATTCAGACTCTTTCTGGTCATCCACCAGTACTCCCAGGTCCTTCTCTGGAGAGCAGCCCTGCAGAGAAGGACCTGGGAGTGCTGGTGGATGACCAGTTGACCATGAGCCAACAATGTGCCCTCATGGCCAAGAAGGCCAATGGCCTCCTGGGGTGCATGAAGAAGAGTGTGGCCAGCAGGTCGAGGGAGGTTCTCCTCCCCCTCTACTCTGCCCTGGTGAGGCCACATCTGGAGTATTGTGTCCAGTTCTGGACTCCCCAGTTCAAGAGAGACAGAGAACTTCTGGAGAGAGTCCAGCGGAGGCTACAGAGGTAATTAAGGGGCTGGAGCATCTCTCTGATAAGGAAAGACTGAGAGAGGTGGGTCTGTTTAGGCTGGAGAAGAGCAGACTGAGAGGGGACCTTATCAATGTTTATAATAAGTACCCAAAGGGTGGGTGTCAAGAGGATGAGGCCAGACTCTTCTCAGTGGTGGCCAGTGATAGGACAAGGGGCAACAGGCACAAGCTGGAACACAGAAGGTTCCACTTAAACATGAGGAAAAACTTCTGTGAGGGTGTTGGAGCCCTGGGACAGGCTGCCCAGAGAGGGTGTGGAGTCTCCATCTCTGGAGATGTTCAAAACCCACCTGGATGCTTTCCTGTGCAACCTGCTCTAGATCAACCTGCTTTGTCAGGGGGGTTGGACTAGATGATCTCCTGAGGTCCCTTCCAACACCCACCATTCTGTGATTCTTTCATTCCCAACAATCCCCAAACTGTTTACAAACCCACAGGTCCTTCAGTTGCCACCGAAACAGCAAAGGCACCCAGTCCTTATAAACTAAACATGAATGTTCGGGATCTTCAAGTTTTTTTAACCCATAACTGAGAGAAGTCAACCTCATGTGGCCAGAGGGCACCTCACCCATGTGAGATGCATAAAATTTGCAGAAGATGAAGTCCTCTTGAGACCTTCTGTCTTATACACATAAGAAACAAAACAAGAGTGCAAAAATAACCGGAGGAGGAATCTCTTGGGGGCAGCCACAATGACACTTCCCAACCCACACCTGCAACGTGATGGTGCAACGAGAGACACTTACAGCTTAATGGGATACAGAATGACATGTCCACAGCCTCTGGGATGTCTTGTGGGTGATCCTGAGCTGTTCACTTCTGACACTCACGTGAAGTAGGGCGGTACAATGCGATGGGTTTGTTGAAGTGGAGTGGTGGGGACGGCTCTCCAATGACCTGTCACGGCCTCTTGCATTAGTAAGTAGAAGTAGCCACAGCAATTCACCAGGAGGGGAGAGATGGCAATCCAAATTTGACCCCCATCACAACCCTCAACCCCAGTGAGGGCAATGTTGTCTCCAAAGCTTCTAATTTTCATCTTAATTTGGGAAGGCTGCAGCGATTCCCAGCTCTCCAGACTACACCTGTGGCAAGGGTGATGTCGCTACTTCAGCAGTAACTGCCACCAAAATTGTAGTCTGACAAGAGGAAATGACCTCAAGTTGCACCAAGAGAAGTTCAGATTGGATATCAGGAGGAATTTATCTCCTGAAAGGGTTCTGAGGCATTGGAAGGGGTTGCCCAGGGCAGTGGTGGAGTCCCCATCCCTGGAGGGATTGAAGAGTCGTGTAGACACAGTGCTGAGGGACATGGGTTAGTCATAGGGGACTGGTCAGTGTTGGGTTCATGATTGGACTCAATCATCATAAAGGTCTTTTCCAATAGGGGCAATTCTGGGATTAAGGGAAGCCAAAACATCACATAGGTTTAATTTGGCATCTACTTTGCCTTTCCTCTGAGCTGTAAAACGCAACAGCTCAGAAGATGTTTCACAACAGCTGCGAAATCCCTGCAGAATTAAAAGAACCAAAGTCTAGACAGGTTGGATAAAAGATTAAGAAGAATTCCAACCTCAATATTCACTTGCAGTTTAGAAATCCAGAAACACACAAGTACCTCAGCACACAAGGGAAGGATTTAGATGTTGTTTTGTAGCTTGTTGGCTCTCCAAGGACTTCCCTGGAACATCTGTCCCTTCAGACATGGCTGTAACAAGTGGATGTCTTAAGAAAACAGCTACTGAACGAGTCTGGTTATTGCCACCAAATAAGAAGTGTTCTCTCAGGAAGTGTCTCCTGGATGCATTGATCAGCAGGACCTCTTCAAAGAGATTAAAAAAAAAACCCAACCAGATTTTAGAACCTACCAGAGAGGTGACTTAAAAGAGAAGGAAACAAAAAATAAAGATGATGTAAATATTGTCATTTTATTCTCAGTTGTTCGAGGAGTCTTTTGTTTTTACATCAGAAACTTGGACTAAGGAAACAAAAAATAAAGATGATGTATATAGGAACTTGTCATTTTATTCTCAGTTGTTCGAAGAGTCTTTTGTTTTTACATCAGAAACTTGGACTTTCCCATTTCATGATCTCAGCAGCTTATGTTAAAAAAAGCAGTTTAACAAGGGATTTAAATTGGAACCAAAAGGGAAGGTTTTCACCCCAGAAAAGGTGCACTTTTCCTCATCCATATTCCTCTGTAAGGACATGCACATTGGGCAGAGGAAGCTTTTTTTTTTTGCAAGATCCAATACAAAACCTTCATCCTATCAACCACAGGGATCAATCCCACAATAAACATCTCGAGGGCTTTCCCTGAGCTTCTTGGCAATTTCACATTTCTGATACTTTAAACACACAAACAAAAATCAGAATTAGAACCAGACAATCCACCAAAGAGCAGGATCTTCGAAATTTTTCTCTCCTGTTCTATATGACACAGCACAAAAAAAAAAACCCCAAACAAACAAAAAAAACCACAACAAAAGGGTTGAGGGGGAAAGAAATTAACCAAAAATTAAAAAATAAAGTGATTTGCTGGTCACCATTAAAGTGCATTCAGTTCCACCTCAGCTCTTTAACCCTGTGCTTCGGTTATTTTCCCCTCTCCCTCCCAAGGCTGAGTCTCATCGTGCTGGCTGGAGGAGCACGAGGTCTTGCAGGCAGCAGGCAAGTGAGTGTTGGCTCTCAATCATTAGTTCACAGCATGAAGGATGTGGAGAGCCCAGAGTTAGGCTGATGCCACATTAGACAGTGGATTTGGTAACATCTGCTGTCATTCAGAGGAGGAAATTGTTCTCATCATGGTGCTAAGACTTGCCATGGGGACATCAAGGAGTTCCATCCTCTTAGTCCCCAGTAGCCTCATTGGGTAACGTCTCATAGGGAAGGTAGATGATGATTTTGGCTCTGCCTCTACAAACATCACCTTGAAGGTTTAAATCACTGAAGGATGAAGCTGCAGTCGCGCCTGTTGAAGCCAAAGGATTTGAGTACAACACTCAGCTCAGGGCTGGCTCCTGCTGTCAACCTCTGGAGAGGCTCCAGCATTGAGAGAGAAACACTGATGGGGGAAAAATCCTCACTACAAGAAGGACATTGAGGGTCTGGATTGTGTCCAAAGAGGGCAACAAAGCTGCTGAAGGATCTGGAGGACATAGGAGGAAGGGCTGAGGGATCTGAGATTGTTGAGGCTGGAGAAAAGGAGGCTGAGGGGAGACCTTCTGGCTCTGTCCAGCTCCCTGAAAGGAGGGTGGAGAGTGGGGGGGGTGGGTCTGTTCAACCAAGGGACAAGGGACAGGACAAGAGGAAATGGGCTCCAGTTGTGGCCAGGGCAGTTGAGATGGGATGTGAGGAAGAATTTCTTTGCTGCAAGGGTTCTGAGGCATTGGAAGGGGTTGCCCAGGGCAGTGGTGGAGTCCCCATCCCTGGAGGGATTGAAGAGTCGTGTAGACACAGTGCTGAGGGACATGGGTTAGTCACAGGGGACTGGTCAGTGTTCGGTCAATGATTTGACTCAATGATCTTAAAGGGCTTTTTCAGTCTGGGCAATTCTGTTAAAATTAAACTAAAAATCTCAAAACCCAAGGCAGAGCCCAGCCCTCCTATTGCCTTTCACATGTGGGGACACACCACAGGCATCTGCTGCACCACTACACAAAGGACATCGTACTTCAGCAGCTCTGGCACTTAGTGCACATAAAACCAACAGAGTGAGCACAGTGGCTCAGAGCAAGTGGAGAAATATTGTTTGGGACCAGTCATCTGGAGGGAACGTGCACAGAGAACTGCTCCCTGCTTGGGCTTCAAAATTAGACATGGTGAGACCATCGAGGAACACTACAGTAAGAGCTGGCTCACCTTCAGAGAGGAAGGAGAGTGAGCAAAGTCAACCCTGATCTGGTACCAGTTTGTCCTCACTGCTGGTGTCAAGCCAAAGCCCACAGATGCTCATGAAAAATCTGCAGTGCCTCTAATTAATCCTGAGCTCACTGAGGACTTAAATTTGCCTCAAGCTAGAGCACGCAGGTCTCTCGAGCCTTGTCCCTTTGTATTAGACAGTCATCACTTGAGTTATTAATACAGAGGTGGGACACAGACGTCCCTATCCGAGGGGATCACCTCTAAATCCCTCTGCAGTCAGCAGAGACAGGCGCTTCCAAGGCTGTGTCATCCCAGCACAAGCATCTAAAACAGGACAGACGAATCATGATCCAAAAGGATCCATTTCTCTTCACTGACTGCAAAAGGAACCTGGCTAGATGATATGGAGATGCCTTTAGGCTAGACAGGTAAAATTAGGCAAGATTAATCCTACTCAAAGAACGAGTGCTACAGCCTCAAACATAGTGACAGTCTAACAGATCACCCCCAGGAGATGCCACAACTTCAAACCAGTGCTACACCTCGCCTGAGCCTGTCTCTGCCCACGGAGAAGAGGAAGTGCTGCTGCTTCATAAATACTATTTACACCAGTTTGCTTAAATTAAAGTTAGTTTCTTGAGGGGAGGTAGAAGAGAAAGAAACAGAGAGACTTCATATTGCAGGAGCTAAAGATACCGTCCTTGGAGGCCACCTTCACCCCTGTCAGTTGTAGGACAGGTACTGGATTAATCGTGGAGGAATATCTAGCTTGGCAATCTTCTCCAGCGCCCGCTGCCCGGCAGCTTTCCTCACCGTAACTCTGCAGAGCTGAGACAAACTCAGAGGTGTTTCTGCAATGAGAAAAGAGGATCTCAAGTTAGGGCTGGAGATCAGTGAACAGCAGATCTTCCTGCAGAGCACAGATCTCCCAGGAGGGTGATGCCTGGCATCGTCCCCGCTGTGATCACAAGCCTGGCTCTGCTTAACAAGTGCCCCATCTCCCACAGGACCCAGGATCAAGGAAGGCACTGCAGAGCCATGAGTGTGCTCCCACAAGGTTCATCTTCAAAGCCAGGTTGGATGAGGCTTTGAGCAACCTGGTCTAGTGGAAGGTGTCCCTGCTGATGGCAGGGGGTTGGAACTGGATGAGCTTTCAGGTCCCTTCCAAACCAAACCAGTCCGTGCTTCTACAGGGAAGAATTTTTTTGAGGGCGGTGAGACAGGTTGCTCAGAGAAGTTGTGGATCCCCCATCATTGGAAGTGTTCAAGGTCAGGTTGAATGAGGCTTTGAGCAACCTCATCTAGTGCAAGATGTCCCTGCTCAAGAAGGGGGGGATTGGAGTTGATGGTCTTCAAAGGCCTCTCTCAACCCAACCCATTCTACAGTTCTATGATGTTTAGGATCCCCTACTGCAGCAGCAAATGCTTGGAAAGGTCTGAGAACTACTCCTCTAAGTGCAACCAAGACAAAGATTGACTGATAGCCATCCTCAGACCTCAGTCAAACATCCCCTCCAAAATCAGACAGCCAGCACAGCTGAAGTTTAACTCATTCCCTGCCCCAAATAAAGTGAGTTTTCAACTGGGTGGTTTCCTTGACCTGACTTAATGCACCAAAGCATAAATGCCGATGCTGACACATGAGAGGGACCCAAATTCACTGAGGGCATGATTTGGACCATCTTACCACTGTCATTCAACCACAATTAAGTAGAGTTAGCCTAGAGAAAGAAATCTATACCTTCACAGCAAGATGATCTACAAATCAAAGTGGACTGAGAATCATGATCTGGTGCAATGGACCTGGCAGATGCCAAATTCCTGGGGCAGGGGATCACAGAATCACAGAATGGTGGGGGTTGGAAGGGACCTCAGGAGATCATCCAGTCCAACCCCCCTGACAAAGCAGGTTCCCTAAAATTGCACAGGAAAGTGTCCAGGTGGGTTTGGAACATCTCCAGAGATGGAGACTCCACAACCTCCCTGGGCAGCCTGTCCCAGGGCTCCATCACTCTCACAGTAAAGAAGTTTTTCCTCATCATATCTCACTTACTTTCATAGTACTCGAAGCACTTTGCTGCGGGGCTGCTGCTCCAGGTATAATCCGAGGGCTTCTTTCCTCGGTTGTCTCTCGCATAAATGTTTCCACCAAATTCAATCAGCATCTCCACCAGATCAACATTTTTCACCTTGGCTGCATGGTGGAGGGCTGTCTCGTGAAGTTTAGCAGCATTCACATTTGCTCCTGAGGCCAAAAAGTAAAAAAAAAACCCAAACCTGTTCAGGAAAGCTTCACCTGACCCAAATGTAAAAGAGTGGTTTGATTGGAGAAAAAAAAAAATGCTGTTAAAACACTCAGGAGCAGCTACAAGATCCAAACAAAACAGCACAAACAGGAAACCAAACTGCTGAGCAAGTTTTTGGTACGGGTAACATATGACTTTTCTTCTCTGACTTGATGTTTTCCTTGCAGAGAAATGATTTTAGTCCATCTTACTGGGTAAATAAACTGCTGAGTGTGAAGTTAATTCCTTCCTGAATCTGTGCTCTCCAAAGCCATTCCCAGTCACCTCAAGGGAGCGTTCCCACTCAAGGCAAACAGTGACATCTTTGTTTACAGAAATACCCCAGACCCACAAGCTGTGGCAGCTCACCATCAGACACTACTGCAGGATCAACTTTTAATTATATTTTTGCTAAGAAAAGTTTGGTTTTTATAAGTTGACAGCAAAAGGTCCTTCCAGTCCCCTCACAATCGCTTCCATTTTATCAACTGATTTGTTCAGCTGAGCTGAGTTGAACCTCACTGAATTCAAACAATCGACTTTTAGAGATGTGAGGCCACACTCCCTTCCTTTCTCTTCTCCAGGCTGAACAGCCCCAACTCTCTCAGCCTGTCCTCACAGCAGAGCTGCTCCAGCCCTCGCATCATCCTGGTGGCCTCCTCTGCACTGGCTCCCGTAGCTCCATGTCCTTGTGCTGTTGGTGGCCCCAGCACTGGAGGCAGCACTGCAGGTGGGGTCTGAGGAGAGGGGAGCAGAGGGGCAGAATCCCCTCCCTCCACCTGCTGCCCACGCTGCTCTGGGTGCAGCCCAGGACACGGTTATTGGCTCTCCTTATAATTAACAAGGAGAAAAAGGTGTTTCTAGAGAATCAATTAATGGGTGTCCAAGACAGGGAACTGGAGTGCTGGGAAACAAACTAGTGCAGAGGTGTAATTTTTAGACAATTAACGTTCATTGAAACAAATCCCCACCCCTGAGCCAAATCTTTTCCTGGTAAACACAAGACAAATACAAGAAATCCAACTGCAAATTCCTCCAAAGTTAACAGCAAGAAAAAAAAAACTGGGATGGCAAACCTGGAGCATAGAACATTGACTTGAACATCCAGCAAATTTACCTGGGTATAACTAACCAGATCAACCTGAGGTATGACGTGATTTCATCTCTGTACAACATCCAACCCTAACGTCTCTCCCTAACACCTGTCCAAAACCATACGACTGTGCTACCAAAGTCAAACACGTGCACATCAGTTGATAACACTTTTGAGAAGAAGTTGAAATTCTGCTCTAGGAAGCTGAAGAGTTCTGAATTTGCTTGAGACCAGCTCTGAGGAGAAGGACTTG